TTTTTTTTTAATTCATAAAAACGAGGCATCTCTCAAGCCTGCCTTCGCACTTCAGCGTTTCCTGGTGCCTCTCTCCTGCAGCACTCGCAGAGGTGCTTACGTCCCGCCAGGATCCGAAGAGTTTAAAAGCAAATATTTAAGTGTTTTGCTCAATCGGGGCCACGCTGCCACGCTTAGGGAAAACCTTCTCCAGTCCTCCCAGGTTACCAGCTGCCTCTACCGGACGAATCAATACATTTTCAAAACATAACTTGCTCAGCCTAGCTTAAAAAGACACGGTGAGGACCACGGTGTCGGCTTCCAAGGAGCTGAACAGACTTCCGAAGCCTAAAATGAGAATATCGGCTTTTGCTTTAAAAACTGCCAGAGCTTTCCTAATTAAAAGACTTCCTTTCCGAGCTCCCCACCACCGGCCCGCGGAGTCACGAGCGAACGGCGCGGCGGCGGCAGTGCGAGGAGCTTCAATTCCTGCCGTCGGGATAATTCATGTGCTGCCAGCCACAGCTGAACTTTTTTTTTTTTTTTAAAAAAGTCGTAATTTTTATCGACACTGTCCCTTAAATAAAAGCTATTTGCACCTTCTAGGTAGTCAAGGGCCATGGAAAGCTGCCTCCAGCGTCTTATGCCAGCCACGACGTGGAAATTCAGGAGATTTTAGCGATGCTCTGGGAAACTTGGGAACTTCTTTGGTCCCTAGATCACCTCTAAGCTCTCCTGAACACCAGCTAACCAGCTTCCTTCCCCTCGTCGCCCTCTCCACTGTTTTTACCATAAAAAGGTGGATTTTCTTCATTTTTGTTTAAAAAAATTTTGGAAAAAAAGTTTTTTTAAAAAAAAAAAAAGCAGCAGCAACCCAGCAGATGTACAATATACAGAAGGAGGAATTTACAGGCAGCTCTCGAGGTCTCTTCGGGAGTCGCAGGAGACACCTCCAAGGTCCCTGGTCGCAGCGCCGACAACTCGGGCGCTCCCTCGGCGGAAGGAGCGGGAGCGACTTGACCCCCGGCGGCTTTGGGGCTCAGTCCAGGAATCGCTGGCAGGCCTTTTTCCACCGGCACGCCGTGCACCACTGGTCCCGGTGCTCGATGCCGTAAACCTTCCGGCACTTTTTGGCTTCACCGCGGACTTTTCTGCAAAGGAGAAAGAAATTTAATTCATCTCCTTAGGGAAGAAGTTCAGGCAGCTGCACGTCTAACACAGGCTAAGAGCATATAACCAAAGCGGAGGGGCGTTTTAGGAAGCCACCGGCCCTCGGCTGAGATACGGGAACTAACCCATCTTTTAGCACATGCAAAAAAACCACAGGAAAACGGAGCAGCTTCAGCCCGCAGGTAGGACACGGGGCTTGCTGAAGGGCCTCCTGAGTGCACCAGCTCGGCCCACGCTCGAGCCGAGGGCTTCCAGCTTGGAACAAGAGTCCGCAGCAGGGAAGCAACTCCCCAGCGCAGCCTGCAGACGCGATGGGACGTGAACGCACGTTCCCCAGGGTTGAGAAGCCCCAAGCCGAGATCCCTTTCCTCTTCCCCTGAAAAAGCCCTGGGCTCCGTGCAGAAACCGCTCAAGAACAAGATGCCGACCCTAAGGTGTTCACCAGATGGGTGAAGGCCACAGAAGGACCTGGAGACCCCATGGTAACTCCAGCACGTGGGCAAGGAGGGAGCAGGCGGTTTCGTACCCTGCCCTAGCTTCTGAGTTGGTGTACTTGAAGCCCCGGGAGGCCACCGGGGCTAGCTTGGAGCAGGAGCATAGTCCACACAGGGAAGGAGGGTGGTGTAGGAGCAGCAAAACCAGGCCAGCTACCCTTCCTAGCACATTGTGTCCCTGGGGGGCTCCCAAGCATCCCACAGCATCAGGCCATCCCTGGAAATTGCCTATGAAAGGCAGGGGAGCTGAGAAGATGCGATTTGCACAGGTCCAGGGTGACTGGCACAACAACAGAGGAGAGGCCTCCTGCTCCAGCAGTGACAGGCTCCACATTCGCTCCTCCTTGGTCACCAACCCCATTCACGGCAGGCTGGATGGGCCCCGTGCCCATCTTTATCTCCGGCTGAACAGGGCGCGCAGCCTCTTACCTGGTGCCAAGGGACATCCTGGGAGGTGACGCGACGATCAGGTGGGACTTCAACATCGGAGTCGCTGGCTGGGGTTCACTGAAGCTGAGCGACCGGCTTCGAACCTGCAGGAGAAAAACCCCATCAAACGTCAGGCAGGACCACCTCGCCTCTCCCCCGAGCAACCCTTGGGCCCTGCAACGCAGCACCATGGAGACCTCGACAACGCCAAGGCATAAACCTGGGCCGCTCCTCCCATTTAAGCCAGGCAATAAGTAAAGAGAGATGAGGTTCCCTCAAAAGCATCCAGCCCAACCACCCCACCTTCACCTGCAAACACAGAAAGGATCACGGAGAAACCAGATGCCGGGCAGGTGGGACTCACCGGTGACAAGGATGGGAGCGTCGAAGTGGCAGTTGCCCAGCTGATGCTGGTGAAGATGTGTGGGGACACCGGGATTTGAATCGAGGGCAAGGCCTGTGGGACAATAGGCGAGAAGCGGTTCAGCGTTAGCCCTGGGGAGGTTGCGCTTGTCATTGCAAGGACGGCACATAGGGCTTGGTGTCCACCATGCCCGGCTAGCCAGGCAGTAGCCGTGCTGTCCCCGTCACCGCACAGCTGACGGAGCCCAGCTGCAGGACCAGCAACAGCCTCTTCTAACCAGGACGGAGAAGAGGCCGAGAGGGACTGAGCTAAAACTTCAGCTAGACGCAACCACGAGCAGGGAGAGGTGGTGGCGGGAACCAAAACCCTCAGAGCCTCCAGCACTCGCTCGCTCCGACGCGGGGCACGACACCTGCGACCGGACGCAGGCTGGCCCCGTAGCTGGGGGCGCAGCAACCTTTCCATCCACGCAGCTGCGTTCGGTTGCAAAATCCTCCCCACATCACTGGGATCAGCCCATATGCACGGGGGTTTTTGCACCTATCTAAGTAGGTTGCAGAGCGTGCTTTTTGCTTTAAGTTGATGCAATATCCATTCCCTGGGGCGGGAGCAAGGAGCTGACGGATCTATGTAGTCTATCCTGCTCCCGTTAGGCTAACCTGCAGCTCCCAAACAACACTCGGCTCTCAGGCAGCCCCGGGACCGCACGGGATGTCAGAGAGCCGCAGCAGCGGCCACCACGCAGGACGAGGACCCTGCTGCTGCGGGTGAGCCCAGCGCCGAGGCGCTGCACGCGGCC